CTTGCCGTACTTTTTGTCCGTCGAAATTCCATTGATTTTTGCTCGAAGGGAAGAATTTGCTCTAGTTTGTTGTTAATTTGAAAATATTGGGGCAAAATTGGCAAACAAGGCAATGAGCGTTTGCTTAATGCTTGTTGCTCAGCTGATCCATTATGTTTGCTTATCATTGTTTCACCTTCGTAGTAGCTCCTCCAGAATGATGGAGTATCAGTGTTCTCTTCATGCTGGTTTTAAAGTCACTCTTCAAAGGTGATGTTGATTATGGCAGAAATTATGAAGGGAGTTTATTCGAGAAGTAAAATTTTTTGCGGACTTGGACGTAAATTCTTGGGTTCCAGTGTCGCCTTGGCGAAATTGGCTCGAATCTGTCCTCATCTCAACTCCAAAGTCAGCGAATTTCCTTGGGAAGTCGTTTTGCCTTTCCTCGTTGTTTCTTATCCCATGTTGGGCACGTCTCAAATCCTCGGTTCGGGTTTGAATTTCGCAGTTTTCTTGAAAATTTCCTATTTCTTCTCAGTAGATCTGTCAAGTATTCGCTGTTTGTTAATCAAGCGTACATTTTAGTGGTGGCGAACTGTGCACCCGCTTCTGGAAATTCTGTTCTAAGTAGGCTCCACTGTTTCCCCTTTTCAGCAGTTTCAACAGCTGGAAAGTCACCGTTGGACTGTCATTTCGATAATGCCTGCAGCTGGATGCCCGATCCTCGCGATAGTACAGCCAAATGGCAAATTGAGAGTGGCGCCATGTGTCTGCGCCCTCTCATTCTTCCACAACATTTCGAATCACTTTCTGATCTTGGATCTAGTCATAATGGTTGGCGTGCACAACTATGGAGTGCCGACGTTCATTTCCTTCACAATGTTCAGTGTCTAATTTTTGTCTATTCGCTCAGCCCTACATTAGTGGATGCGATCTCACTTTCTGTTCTGCTTCATTCATCTGGGTATGATAGGGACCCTAAATAATAGGCTTGTAATCTTGCTAAAAGAATGTATTCGGTGTAGTTGTGAACTCTGACTACGGCAATTAGGGTTGATCGCTCATATTGTTGTTTGTTTTTTATTTCTTTTTATCAACGCAAAGTAATTAATGCCTTTATGCGTCATATTTATATTGTTGTATTTGCCTATTCCTCTTTCATTTCCATTTCGTCCTTCCTCTTGGTGTGCACATTCCCAGGTTTGAATGTCTGTCGTTTCGCTTTCACTTTGGAATGTATGCCGTGACTGGTGCTTCTTATGACCCTTTGTCTTCCTTCTCAGTCTAGCTGCTTGTCTTTTAGGGAATAATAAGGCACGTAGGCTTCTATCCCCTCTTATCTTTTTGTTTGATTGTTGACTGGTTGCTACTTCGTTCGTTTGAATTAGGGCTTGGGTCTAGGCTATAGGAATGGAAAGTTTTTGGGAAATTTAATGTGATCATTGGTATGTAGGTTAGTATCCACCCCTTCTGAAAGATAGCATATAAAGTTTTTTACTTATGCGGCTTGTTTCATGGCCTTAGAAACTTAGTGCCAGTGCAAGGTTGGGTCACATCCACAGCTAAGGTCAGAGACCGGTTGCTAAAATATGGCTTTCGTGCCATGCGGACACATGTACCGCGTCCTTCACAGTGCGATCCGTAAACGTTCCAACTTTTCTTGCTTTCCTGTTAACGAATCCCAACATATACTTTCCTCGCTCTGAAATGTATGCCATTTGAGTATGGACGAAAAGTTAATAATTTAAATAGGTTATGCACTCACTGATGGTAGCTAAATCGACCTCCTCTTGGTGCTGTGGTCTTTTACTCGACATGAATAACGACCCGTTTACTTCCTCACGGCACTTCTACTCTGCATATTTTCAAGCAACAGGATGCAGAAGGCATAGGGCTTGATAGACTTATTCATGCATGTTTTTTCTTCAAATACGCAATCTGACCATTGTTCTTTTTGCATCTTAAAACTGCTACCCTACTTTTTCCCTTTTCATTCTCAAACCGGCTTTTTGTCCTCATTCTTACAGAAACTGTCAGAAAATCTTAGACGCGATAACTGGTCAGGAATTTGAGGTTTGGTGAGGCGAAGCTTTCCTGTAATTATTCACCACTTATATAGTCGTCCCGTTGCATTGTGGAATTCCTCCGAATCACGCTGTCCCTCATCTTCTTGGAATTCTGCCCTCATAGACCTTGGAACTGGTTCTTCGGCTGATTTCAAGGTATTCTTTCGCCCCCATTCGGTGTTTTCCCAGAATTAGAGCTTCTAGTGTACCTGGAAGGATTGCTGGCTTCTCTTTTGCTCCTTTTTAACTTTGCTACTTTTTGTTCTTTTTTTACTTCCTTCCTTTTGTTTTTCATTGATGCTCCCATTGTTATACAGAAATTTACGGGAAGTATTGGATCTGACTACAGGGAAGACGCTCCAGATTAGGTAAATAAGAGATTATCGTTGTTTCAAATAACTAATGTAGTCAACCCGAAGTCATTTGGTCGTCCAAAGCGTTCTCTCAAGCTCTTGCATGGCAGACTGCTCAAGTATCATTAAAATCCAACAGTGGAACTGGGGATTTCAAGGTGAGACTGTTTTGCGTCTCTTTTTCTCTCTTCGTTCCACCTCCCTCTTTCTCCAAGATGTCTTTCTCACTCTTCGTTCCTTCCCCCTTTTCTGCCAACAACTGTGAGTATAGTCGTGATATAGAAACGGCAGTGCAACACCTCTGGCAACTCCTCATCCTCATTTGTAAAAATTTGTAGTACCTCCTATCAGTTATGGTCTTCGAATCGCACCATGGGCTCGATGTTCGTTTAGGCACCTTTTTTTGCAGACTTGGACAGGCGAGAAATTATGAATTAAATTTCCATTTCAGACCCATAAGATTGGCTCAGTTGTGTTCACTCATTCATCGGTACTTAAGTAATATTGTGATATTTTTGCGGTTCTGTGTCTATTTTGCCGTGTCACAGCTTCCAAAACATTATATGAAGGAGGCTTTTTAAGGACTTACACAGGTGATGCGTTCTCACGTTCACAGTGCAGGAGGCTGCGCTTTTCTATCTATCTTTCCTTCTTGTTCTCGTTTTGCCTTTTTCAATATGAATACACACCCTCTTCCCCTCTGAATAGTCCTATATCCTACAACTGTTAAAATTAATGCCTCATGCTAGTTTAGAACTCCTTGATGTTCGTGTGGTTACTCTCCGATTCTTCCATTTTCAATCTTTTTTTCAAGCCTGTTTAATCGCTCTTCTTTGGAAAAGCGGCTTTTGATTGGTAACTTTTGTTGCCCTTCTAGCAACTGTCACTCAGTTTTTGATCCAGTAACGGGTGATATGATCAAGTATTGGTAAAGTCGTCTCCATTGCACACCAACAAGTTCTTTCTAGTAAGCCACAGCTCTTGTGGAAAGGCGAACCAAGCTCTGGGTGGCAAAAGTCCTCAGTGGATCTCGCCTCTAATTCGTCCGCTGATTTCCAGGTGAGAGGGGTATTCCAGTAAATTATTGGCATCCTTGTTCCTCTTCGACTTAGCCTTCGCGTCTTCCCTGTTCCTTCTCCTTTTCGACCTTTTCAGCTACAGAAAAGACTACGAAGTTTGATATAAAAGTACTGTGACCCAACGCCGATTTGACCCACCAACAGTTCCTACATCGTTAGCTCGGCCAAATTTTATTTACATCTGGCTTGTTTTAATTCTATGTTCTCTCTTGATCTTGCTCCCTTTATTTTCGACACTCCATTTCTGTTCTCGTTGTTCTCATATAGCCTTTATCCCTCCTAGATTTTGCCGTGATACTCCACATCCTCTAACCGATAAGATGATTCGATACTGGTAATAAGTTTTTAATGGGTTTAAGCCGAAAGTTCTGTAGTCAAGGCACGTCACAAATGACGCTTCTGGTTGGTCCAAGGCCCTAATTTGAACTCAGGCGAAAATGTCGTGGATAGCGACTTTCAGGCATTGGTTGTAACCCGTCTTCTATTATCGATACTTGCAAAATAAGTAGTGTGTTTAGCTCTTATGTAAATTGATTCGATTCTTTTGACCTTCTACTCTTTTGGCTCTACTGCTTAATCTCCTTCTCAACTTATTTGCTTCTGCTACCCATTTGTTCGCTGCTTACAAATCGTTATTTCTTTAACCGCAGAATGGGAAGTTCCCTAGTTGTTAGGTTGATGAAATTTTTTAAGCGCTTTCGACCTTCTTGACATTTTGAAGGAGTCCTCCTCTACACCACTAATTTAACGTCAAGGTAGCATCTTTGGGTAGCTAGCAGAGCTTTCCTGGACAGTGGATGTGCATGAAAATTGGTAGTGAAATAAACGACGTTACTTGATGTCATTGGATTGCCGTTAGTCAGCCATAATTGTCTTTGTATACACATCCCCACCCCCTCTCCTCTTGAGTCAATAGGGCTGTGGTTGTAAATATTTTAAGTCACAATTGCCTTAGTGACGAAGATGGGCGATGTCAGCTTGCTGCTAACAGCCTCCTTATCGAGACATTAATTGGACCGATTGAATTCATCTTAAACTCCTCTAACTTTCCTCTTGCTTTCCTGCTTTCCATGCTCCTGTTTTCTCTCCTAATATTTCTCTTCTCTTTCACCTCAACTCAGTCGCTGCGTTCAAGTTGTTCACCCGCTAACCCGAAAGCCTTCAAGCTTCTGGTGAGTTGATTAGCTGTCTTTCGGCAACGTGCTCTACTCTATTAGTTCCAACGATGAGCTCTGGAATACTACAGGTTCCACGTCAGATTGGAAGAGTGTCAAAGTCGACTTGACTCCTGTGGCTAAGAGTGATTTCCAGGTACTTTTTGTTACCCTCGTTTAAATGCACTCGACTGGCTAACGTAAGGACTAGTCGTAATTCACTATGCTCAATGGTTTAAGATTTCACCTGGTTATTCTTTCCTTCTCCACTTCAATCTTCACTCTGAAATCTTGTTTTCTTCATTTATCATAAGCAGCTGTTTTGGGATGAGCTGCAAGCTTCCCTGTAGCATTTCCTCGCATTATGAAATTCATCATCCTTGTTGACATTAACGACTAAAGGAATTATAGATTCATCTATTGCGATTATTTGAAGTGTTCCTCTTCTAACATTGGCTTTGCTTTTCCTTTTATAAACTATTCTCTATTTTTTCTCTTATTAATTCCGTCTCACTTCCGCGAATTTTGCATAAAGTTGGGCTCCATGGAGCCGGCAAAACGATCCAGTATTAGTGATCGCTTTTTGAGATCCCATTAATGCGTTTAGTGAATCCGATAATTTAAGATTGAAAACACTACAATAAGTGCTTCTACTTAGTTAAAGACCTTAGCCTGAATCATACCAAGAGTTTATTGAGGATCGGCTGTTTTTTAACAAAAATCTTGTAAAACAGGTGGAACTCGAGTGCACTCTCAATAAGTTTATGGCTGTTGAATCGCCGCCTTTTGGTCTATTTCTTCTCCTCCTGCTCTTTCTCTCCTTAACCTGATGTTTCATCCCCTTTCCTAATTTTTTATTTCTTCCATCAATTCAGTGACTGCGTTCAAGTTGCCCATCCGGTGACTGGTCAAACTTCGAGTCATTGGTGGGTTGTTCTGTAGTCTTTTAGCAATAAGCCCGGTTCCTTGCTAGCTTCAACCGACAGCTCTGGAACACTACAGGTTCAACGTCAACCTGGCAGAGAGCCAAAATCGATTTGACCTCTCTAGCGAAGAGCGATTTTCAGGTATTCGTCCTAGCTCTACTACTTTCTCCAAAAATAAGTAAACATCACCCATCGTGTAAGCTTCTTGCATTCTCGCCATTGCGATCTACCCCTCTGAAGCCTCTAAACTTCAATCCTGGACTTCGCTTTCTTTTCTTTGCCATTTTGTGTGACGTTAGTTTTTTCTGTCCAACTGCAATTTCCCTTCTTCGAATCACCACTAATTGAAGCCAGGGATCAAATTGCGAAGTGTGGGAAGTAAACCAAGATTCAAAGCGAATGTTTGCACCTTCTTTGATTCCTTTCTTATTCTTCTGTTTCTTCTCCTTAAATTGTCCCCTCCTAACGTCTCATTTATTCCGTTAACTCAGCCGTTGTGTTCAAGTTCCCGATCCGAAAACTGGAAAATTGGCGAGCCTTTGGTGGGTTGATGGCTTTTAGATAAGGCTCTACTTCTTGGTAGCTTCAATGATGAGCTTTGGAACATAACAGGACCTACGTCAGATTGGCAGACTGTCAAAGTCAATCTTACCTCTGCAACAAAGAGCGATTTTCAGGTATTTGCTGCGACTTCCAACCTCCCCCCCTCTCCCATTATAACCGAAGGGTTTATCCACCGTCCTGCACTAGGTTTTCCGAATCAATAAGTTTCTTTTTCTTCGTCAAGTTAATGCTTTGGCATTCACCTCTAGCACTGTCACTCACCCGTATTCATTGGCAATCTTACGCATCGTTCTAGGTCACTGCTGGGTCGTTCTGACTTTGCTTTATTTCCGCTTCCCTTAGTTGTAGTATCTCGTTGTTGTGGCCCTATTCTTATATACGTTGCACTTTCGCAGCTCAAAAATTTTAGAATGATGATCAGTTCCTCTTTTGAATTTCACCGGTTTCAATGAGACAGGGCTAACAGTTGCTTGAGTGTCTGATTCGATCTATCTAATTGAACTTTTCTCCTCCTTCCTATTCTCCTCTTTCTTCGTGTCTCTTCCATATTTCTCAATTCACTGTGCCTTCCATCAATTCAGTGACTGCGTTCAGGTTGCCAATCCGAAAGGCGGCAAAGCCACAAGTGTTTGGTGGGTCATTCAATGGTCTCTAAGTAACACTTCACTCCTAATAGTTTCAGTGAGGAAATTTGGAATGCCACTGGCCCAACATCAGGTTGGAATACTGCTAGAGTGGATTTGGCTTCTGTGGCAAAGAACGATTTTCAGGTATTCATTGTGACTTTGGATCTCCTAACTACTGAGAATTGCCTGCAAATAAGCATGAAATTCATAGATTAATACAAATTTTGAGTGGAGCACTGCCTCCAATTGCGTCTTTCCACCACTGTTTAGAGCACCTGGTTAAGCTGCTTACCACTTTTCTGCATCATGGCTGTCTTGGGTTGGGTAATTGTTAGAGACCAAGATTCGCACTGAAACCAATTTGACTTCTGCTTGGATGTTTTATTTTAGGATAGGGCTTCCGCCAAGTTGTCTATTTCTTTCTTTCCTTGGTCCTCTATTTTCTCTCTCTGAATCCGCCTTACATTGTTAAAGTAATTATTTTAGAACCCATGAAATAACTGGAATTCTTGTGGTCAACTTGATGCGTTTTCGGTAGCACAATTGTTCCCATTAGTTTTAATGGTAACCTCTGGAGCACAACAGATTTAGCATCAGGTTGGCAAAGCACTAATGTCAATTTGACGTCTGTAGCGAGGAGCGGTTTGCAGATGCTACTTGAGACTCCAAGAAATTTTTTCATTTAATTATGCCGTTTTTCAACAATTCATTACCTTTTCCTCAAAGCACCATCATCCGTTCCTCGGTGACATCTCGTGTTATTTTCACTGTTGATTTTTCGACGCTCATTTAGGATCGTATGCTCGCACGATTTTGCGGTAGAATTAGTCTATCTCTGAACTCACGTATAGCGCTTGTAAAAATCTTAAATGTGTTTATACATTCCAGCATACCTAGCTTGCACTACTTTCTTTGGCGAAGGTAACTGTCTGTTATAATTGTCTTGACTTCTTTACTCGTGCTCAATTTCTGCACCCACTTTGGAGGTTTTGTGATAAAAGTTCGGACCTTTTAGTAGTCGAATTAGTTTGTACTGATTGTACTAGTCTCTGGGCTACAAGTTAACGAGTGGTTTTGGCAAAGAATTGGTATGCTCATGGTATTAGCCCGTGTATCAGTACCTGAGAAGAGAGTATGAGTAGTGTGTCAGTATTCGCCATCTTCTCTTCAATCCTCTGCTTCTTTTATTTTCTTTCATTTTTCCTTCGATAATACCCTGTCCATTCTATTGATTTAGTCGCTGCGTTCAAGTTCCCGACCCCATGGGTGGAAAAACAACAAGGGTTTGGTGGGTTTTTTGACGAGTTTAAGATAACGTACCCAATTTCCTATTAGCTTCAATGACGATCTGTGGAATACGTCAGGTCCTACGTCGGGTTGGCAAAGTACCAAAGTCGATTTGACCTCTGCAGCAAAGACTGATTTTCAGGTATTTAGCGTTGCTTCGCCTTTGGATGGCATCGTTCAACCTAATAAATCAAGCAATTGGTGTTTTGAGGTAGCGTTTGTAGCGTAGTCACATCTTATTAACGGGTTTAGATGCTAAGTGTCCAAAATTATCCCTTCTTACCGGGTTGTTTGGCTTCCTCTCCTTCTTTCTCTACTTACTCCTTTATTTAATTTTATTTTTTCTCGCCTCATTTCTAGCGTACTTTGTTATCACAGGTCTTGTAGTGAATTTGTGAACCCTACAACCGGTAAATGGATTCGGCACTGGTAACCAGCCCTTTATTTCCGTTAAAATTCTCATATCCGTTTAGTGAACCAGAAGTTCTGTGGTCGACGAATTCAACTAGTGTTATTTCGACTTGGGCCGAGGCTGTAGTTAGTCTGGAGTCCGATAAATCCGTCGCGAAGGGTGATTTTCAGGTACTCGTCGAAATTACACTGCTCACTTCGGTGGGCTAGTAGACAGTTTAGTGCGACTTATGAACATTTTTCTGTTGTTTTTGCTTTTGTTTCATTTTCCACTACTCCGCCGTTTAGTTGGCATTCCTTCCGTTCAGTTTCGATTTTGCTGTTTAAAGTGTTTTGCAGTTTACTACGCTGAGAAGCCATGTTCAAGTCGTTCTTTAGTCGTGATAAGTCATGGTTTCCCTTTATTGAGGAAACTCTGTAGCTTTTCACTATCTCTTCATATATTATCAATTCTTTAAAAAGAATGTTCTTTTTCTCCAAAATCTTGACGTAACCTACGGCATGGCCTTCAAACATTCCGATTTCGGTTTTAGTTAAGAAACATGCATGCCAGTTTGGACGGAGTAAATGCTCATGTCGCTGAATAGCTCTGTTGAAGCTAAGTAGCGCTGGCGTTTTGAAATTGAGATTGCTTGATGTTGGCTCCCTCACATCTCCTTCCTTCTCCTCCTTGACCCTTTGACTTTTTTGTTCACCTTAACTTTAAACTCATCGCTTTCTTCAATCTGCTCTTTTAGTAACTGTAAAAATGTTCGTGATGCCGACACTGGTGAAATTCACTTCATTTGGTAATTTCGCGTCCTCGTTTAAACTAACAGCTTTGCAGTAAACCCAACCAATTGTGGTCTTCAGTCGGCACTGAGATTTCGAAATCAGTCTGGATGCGGGCTTATGTTGACATAGACTGTAATGTGACCTCAGATTTTCAGGTGAGAAATAGGATCTCGAGTTAATTGCCAGGTGGAACAAAAAACAACTTGGTTAGAAAGATAAGGCGGTTGATATACTGATTGTCTGTTTTTTTCACCCCCTTTTTTTTCGTCTCTCTTCTTTCCCTACCTTAACTTCCACTCCCTTCATTAATTCCTACCTTTGTTTTCTTAATGCAGTAACTGTCTTCAAGTTGTCCATCCGAAAACAGGAAAACCTTCAAGTTTCTGGTGGGTTGTCAACCATATTTAGGTAACTTATTGATATTCTATTAGTTCCAACGATGATATTTGGAATACTACTGGTCCTACGCCTGGTTGGCAAAGTGTCAAAATTGATCTAACATCTCTCACAAGTGGGGATTTTCAGGTACTCAGCACGCCTCTTTTTGGTTTTTTATCGACCAAGAAGTGGCTTTCGATTAAGGAAGATTTTACTTCACTGCTTTTGACGACTAACTATTTGTGACTTTTGCCGGTTTTCTTTCCAGAACCACAGTAATTACTGACTCGCTTGAGGACCTGATAGTTTCGTAAATTTGTATTCGCGTTACCATGTTTTTCTTGGTTTTTTGTTCAGTTATTTTTAATTCAGTTTGCTTCGTTAACTCTTTGTATACTATGGATAGGATGGATTTTCTCATATTATTGACTCCCATTTCCTCTTTTCGCACTTATGTACACCGCGATTTTACAAAAAAAAACTGGTCAAGTTTAAACATAATTGGTGCACAGGTTATCTCACAACCAAGTAGTCGTGTTAGTCGAGAAGGGCAGGAGATTCTGGAATGTGGTCGCTTGATTTTTTCCTTCCCTTTCATTCTTTTATGCCCTTTTCCCTGAATTTCTTTCGCCTCTCCTTCTCTCTTACACTCTTGTTTGTTCTTTTAGTAACTGTAAAAAGCTTTCTGATCCGGAAACCGGTGAGCTCCATACCATATGGTAAATTTATCGCTTTTATTTCAACTGCGAGTTTTGCAGTAAACCTCTTCGATTGTGGTCTTCGAATGACACCATAGCTGAGAATTCCGTTTGGACACGAACTTCTGTTGATCTAAGCAATACGTCGGCTTCAGATTTTCAGGTGAGAGTTGGCGACTCTAGTCCAGTGTTTTCGGCTTGGTGAACCACAAAGACTGTTGTTTCGAATGGATTGGAAGGCACGTCAAAGTTGTTTGGATGGACAAGCTTGATTCTGTGTTGGATCTTTCCTTTTACTCCTTTCTTCTCTACAATTCCTTTCTTTGCACCTTTTTGTTTTTGTCCCTTAATTACTTGTTTCTTCCATGGATTTAGTCGCTGCATTGACATTGCCGATCCGATAACCGGAAGGTCGTCAAAGCATTAATGGGTTGTTCTGTGATCTTTCGATGAAGCGTTCACTTCCCTGTTAGTTTCAACGATGATCGCTGGAATGCCACTGGCACCACTTCAGATTGGCAGGACGCCAAAGGCGATCTCACTTCCCTAGTGGAGAGTGACTTTCAGGTATTTATTGTAGCTTTCCTGTCTCTTTCGTGCTCGTCAACGGGTCCCTTAGTGGCATTGTGCGTCAAGTTATGCCATTTTGTGTAGTTGCCATTATTGCTCTTTTTTCCACTCCTTTTCAACTGCTTGTCCTTTGTTTTCCACTTCCTTGAGACTTCTTGATTTTCGTCTTTTTCTTTCCCCTTCAGCTCATTTGAACTACATTTCATTATTTTCCTTGCATTTTCTATTAGTTTCGCTGCTCGCTTCTTATTTAGTCGTCTTCCGCTGTTTCGATCACCATAACCAGTGAAGTAATTCAATCAGGCGTCTCAATTTTCAATTGATCTTACTTAAATTTTCTTTTGAAACAGCTTGTAAAACTTACTGAACTGTTAGCGGCTTTGTTTTACTGCGCTCCGGATTCACTCTCTTTATATCCGATGGAACGAACTTTCTCTTATTTTGATATAGACGATCGTGTGGTTGTGGTAATTTATCTCTCTCAGTATCTCCTTCGTCTTTTCTTTTACCTTTACCTTGCTTTCTTCCCTTCCCTAATATTTTCTCCCTTTTAATCCAGTGCCTGCGTTCCAGTCCTCCACCCGATAACTGGAAAGCTGTCAAGTGTATGGTGGGTCTTTAGACAACAGAATTTCTCATTCATGTTAGCTCCAACGATGATCTGTGGAATGTCACCGGTCCCACCTCGGGTTGGCAGATGGCTAAAATAGATTTGACCTCTGCAGGGAAAAGTGATTTTCAGGTAGTTCATCTGACTTTCCTGTGGTCTGTAAAGCTAATCGGAATTTGTTTCTTATTTCAAGCATTAACTTCATAGTCCGGCAATAAGCACATGTTCTGGCCTTTTGTTGGTCATTCAATGAACATTCGCTTAGATAATTCGTACTACATCGTTCCTAGCGTTGCTTTTCTTCCCAAATACCCATGTCTTTAACAGCTTTCGTACTCTGACTGTTTTCTGATGAAACGGTGACTTTGGAAGTCCTTTTTAACGCAGTAAACAAACAAGGATGACGATTCCATAAGATGTACGCGAGCTTCCCAAGGTAGCGATTATTTGCTCTACTTTGTTTGCGTGGAATTACCTCTTTCTGTCTTCAACTTCTCCTTTTTATTTCTCACTTTTCTACCTTCATTCTTAATCCCATGTTTCTCCTGCCACTCCAGCGATTGCATTCAAGTTGTCCATCCAAAAACCGGAAAGCCTACGAGTGTTTGGTGGGTCTATTAGTGGACTTTAGGTAACACTCAGTAGCTCTAATGAAGACATCTGGAATACTACTGGGTCCACGCTGGGCTGGCAGAATGCCAAGATCGATTTGACTTCTGCGACGACGAGCGATTTTCAGGTAGTCAGATGCCCTAACCATAGCTGTCAGACACACTCAGCAATTGGCCTGAGCTTCTAATCAACCGAATCTTCCGCTCTACTCTGAATCCCTGCTTTGCTAACTTATGTTTTCTTTCACCCATTTCCGTTCTCGTTCTTGGTGAGCTGTCTTAAAATTCTCTTCCCAAGTGCTGAGACACTTTCAATAGCTATCTCAAAGAGGCTAAAAACTTATAGATGCCAGTATACTTCCCCTCTCCTACCAACTTTTAATTACATTTCCTTTTGCATTTCTTTTCTTCTATGCTGCTTTCAGGCTGAATCTTATGATGTATTGTTTTAAGGGAATAAGAATTTTAGTTCTTGTAACTACTTTTGAACCCATATAATGCTCTATAACCTATTAAATGTGCTGGATCACTTCTTTTAATTGTTATTGCACCTCACCTATCCACAAACAAAAAGGGTAGTGGACTGGCTCTCTGCTTTTCACCTAACAGGCGTTTTTATTTTTGTAACTGTAGCTCCAGGAGCAGTTACATCCACATTGTCAATATTTTGTCATCGCTTCCTTTTATAAAATCTAGCAGCACAGCCTTAGCAGTAAATCCATGCTTTATTCCGTTCCTTTTTAGATTATTCTAGAGGGAGTCATTCCTGCTGGTCATCCGGACGCAAGAATATGTGTTGACAATATCACCAGCTACACGGTGCCCTGCAGCGGTGCGTTACTCTTAATCTACTTTGACCTGACTTGACTACAGACTGTACTTCATAAGGCACAGGGCTCCAGCAGTCATTTTATTATCAAGTCGCGGAATGACCAAACTAACAGTGGCATGGGTTGAGGAGGTAGATCTGTTTAGACAGATATGTGGTGTTGCGAAACTGCCCATAATATCGCACACCTCCATGTGACCGTGCTCGTTGAATCGTTTT